AGAAAGAAAGAAAGAAATTAAATAATTGACATTTTGTTACCCTTTCATTAGACATAAAATTAGCTGCCTCTGGTGGTTTGCTCATTTTGCCCAAGGTTAGGGCAATGCTGGATGCTCTGTTAATTCCCAAACTGCCTTACTGCAATGCATGATAAGTAAGGCTGCCTTTGAAGACTGTTTAAGTAATTTCAGGTAGTTTGCAACGCAGCTTTTCATAGGGACCAATCTGTGTCATTGTATCCTGCCAGTTCATAAATGCCTTCACTGGTCACAAAGCCATTTCTGGATCTCAGTACAATTCAAATTGTAGGAGCTTACCTTTCAAACCCTATACAGTATATCTTAAAGCCAAGGTACCAGAAGGAACATCTACAGCAACTCACCTGCTATGGTGAGGATGCAAAGAGTGCTCCACAGCAGGCATTTGAGGCATAAGGATTAAACTGATAGGGTCAAGGTAGGAAAATATTATACTGAGAATATCTTTACTTCAACTTCATCAGAGGATTTCAAGGCAAAGCAAAGCCTAATAAAACACAAAGTGAGTCAGTCGCTTCAGCTGGCAGTTTCCAAGAAGTGACTGCAAGGTATTACTGGAGAGTCCCGTGTGTCACGCTGTGCCCATGTGCTAACTTTCTGCCAACAACTGTTGTAGAGGATGCTGTGCCATTGTCATTACTGCAGGTCATTTGAATGTGATGTTGGTGTTTATACATGGAATGAGATCAGATGCCATCTTGTTTTTCACCTCAAGCAGCAAAATCTTTTGGGCCTCCTCTTTTTAAAAGGCATTTGTGTGGTAGATATCTAAATACCAAACCAACTGAGCTCTTTCCACCTCTCTGACCCATATGTCTCTGTAACATATACAAATAAACCAATATTTTCATTTTATTGTTATCTTAAGGTAGAGATACAGGACAAAGGGAATCTATGGAATCCAATGCCTGCATTTCCTCAGGTTTCTATCACGTTCTCCTCAGTGGATCTGTTGACCAGCTGTGGAGTCTAACGCAGTAGCAGACTTCCCTTATGGCTGCTGACATATGACTGACTTTTGGCCTACGGTATTTGGAAGATAGGGGGAAGGGAAAGTCAGTGTTAGAATTATGTGTGACCCTTTTCACTGATGTGCTTTGTGAGTCTCCCAGATACATCTGAGTTGTGTTTCTGTAGAATTGTCTTGTCTTACAGATGGTACAAACACCTCTCCCAATTCTTTCGGACTAACACATTTTTGCAGATGTCCAAATGTCCAGAGAATTCAGATATTCTTTTAGCAGACCCACTTGGATATTCCCAAGTGTTTCTAAACATAATTTTTCCTTGCTGGAATTTTCCTGCTCCTGGCTCTCGTGGTATTTTTAGGGATGCCTTATGTATTATTCTTTCCATGAAATAGAGATCCCTTCTCACTCTTCCAATTTCCTGCTTTTAAATCAAAGTAATTTAAATAAGTGTTGTGACAGTATTGTTGACTATATTTATGCATGAAATCTTGAAGATGTCTGTTATAGATAGATAGATAGATAGATAGATAGATAGATAGATAGATAGATAGATAGATAGATAGATAGATAGATAGATAGATAGATAGATAGATAGATAGATAGATAGATAGATAGATAGATAGATAACCATTACCACCACCAGAGTGTCTGAAAGCACTGAATTTTCCATGAATCAACACCAGAAATTGAGGCAGAACTGTGACGGAACTCTGTAGAACTATCCTTTCCAGGTTTTTTGACGTAAAGCAAGACAAGAGAAAACAACATTTAAAAAATGCTAAAACTTCTGAAACCCTGACAACTAAGTTAGACAAAACAAATATGTACCATCATAGAGTGTTTATATATGTTTATGTGTGAGAGAGTTTAAGTAGTAACCAATATGGAGAAAGGGGGTGAAATGTGATCCCAACCCACCTTATGGGAAATCATGTATGTTACTGTGTACTTTTGTACCCAGTCCGTCCCTCTATAGGCACCCTTTCTATCCCCTCTATAGAATTAATAATTGCAGGCAATCAAGTTGACTCTGAAGGATAGCAACGTTTCCTAGGATTTTCAAGGTTTATACTCAGAAGTGGTTTACAAGTCCCTTCTTCTGGGGAGGGTGCTCTAGAGTCATATAGCTTTGCCAAAACCATATAAGCTGGTTGTTCTCCCAGGAGGCACAATGGAGAATTGACTTACTAATACCTGGTTTCTCCTTCTCACTGAACTATCCAGCCATTTGCAGAAACCAAACATATTTGGGATCTGTACGGTAGAGGAAGAAATCTTCAGAGTCTATCCTGTCACTACTGGTGGTGCTACTTTGGCCCTCTGGGATTCTCCAGAAGGTCTTACTCCTTTCCCCGTGATACTGTTGTTCAGTAGTTTCCCAGATTTTCCACAGGTTTTTGTCCATTCTGAGAGGCAGAAATCTGTCTTCTAAAGCTTAGTTAGTGACAAATAGTAGCGCAGTGGTGAATTTGGAAGTGCCAGTACTAATTATGACAGTCCCCATAGCCACTATTCTCATAAAGAGAGTCCAAAAATGGAGGCAGCTGAATCAGTCTATATCAGCAAAGGAAGACAGAGCTTTTGTAAAGTGACCAAGCCACTGCCTCCCAAATAATTTGCATTACTATTTTGTGACCATTTCTTGGGAAAATCTATTTGTCTCCCTGCTACCATGCAGATTGAATTTCAGCTCAGAAGGAAAGGAACCTAATGGTGGGTAGCAAACAATGTAAAAGTCCCTAACTTGCACACTTCATCCCCTAGAGAAGTCTAGGATGTCAGACGTGATGTTACTCTGTTAGGGATACTGAATCGCAGCTAGGACATCCAGTTCTCATACCCACACATTTGTGACAATGAAATATTACACAGTGTTGTAACTGGTATTCTGGGGTGCTCATCATTGTTCTTGCTTTTATTTGGAGTCATATGTATCCACAGCCATAAGTGTCTACAATGAGGAGGCACAAAGGATCACAAGAAAAGAAAGTTCATCCAGTTGAAATACAGAGTGTACTAAGTAGCAAAAATGGTTAGTGTCGGTATAAAGTATGTATTGTCAAGGAGGGTAGTGTCCTCCACTATTTGACAGGCACACAGGCACCACAGACAACACACACAGTCTTGTTATATGTTGTGAGCTCACATTCATTAAACTTCACATACAGTATCTTCCATATAAATACTGCAAAGAACCAAAACTTCACATTTGGTCTACAGCTTGACCAAACTGATTTCCAATGAATGTTTATCAAAACACAGGACCATCATAAATGCAAGAAGTCCCTTACCTATTTCGGGCACCTTCACCGCTGCAGGCTATAATTATTCATACTTATTAAAGTGAGGTACCATCCAGTTTATAATAGGCTGTAACGTTGCAATCCCTGGGAGGCCTTGTGAAGGTGTGATATGACTTTCTGAGCCTCAGCCTTCAATGGTGGAGCAAAAGGTCCCCTATTAGAGAAGGTGGCCCTACCTCACAACCTATCTCTCTGAGGCTTGGGAAGGCCAACAAATGGTGCTTCTGTGACTTCATGGATCCCAGAACATAAGCTGCATACGTGTATGGCAGGTGAGTTGCAAGCCTGCAGGTTCCAATGTCCCTAGAGAGTGTGTGTGTTCCATTGTACATGATAAGAGAAAACCACGCGATGGCTTTCTTTTCCATTTCAGTATTAGGGGGAAATACAGCTATGTTATCATGCAGCCGAGCAAATCAGCATTCTACAAGGCAATTCTAAAAACAGGGGCAGCCTAAAGAAAAAAAATTATAACTTTGAATTTGGGCTACAGGTCATTCTTCCATTTGCACTTGTTGAAAAACAACTATGACAATTGTTTTGTGTTTGGGTGAGAAATGGTTAACTGATGAAAAAAGGAATCAGCTTCTGGGATTTTCCCTTGCTTGGAGTCTCTTTGTGAATGGTAGTTAAAATGAGACCAGTGGTCCCCAACCTTGGGCCTCCAGATGTTCTTGGACTTCAACTCCCAGAAATCCTGGCCAGCAGAGGTGGTGGTGAAGGCTTCTGGGAGTTGTAGTCCAAGAACATCTGGAGGCCCAAGGTTGGGGGACCACTGCTTTAGACCATCTTGACTGCAGCCAGTGGTGTCCTCAGCACTCAGGCTGCCCTGTGTTATATAAACCTTGGCATCCTTTGGCAACATAGGCACAGTATTGTGCAGCAACAACAGGCCATTTCCTTGCACTTTGAATCATGAGTGCAGAAGCACAACATCCCACTTTCATGTACCAAATTAAATATAGAAGAATTGAATCTATTTCTAGTCAGTGGGGGAAGCCTGAATGACTAATAGCATGCTGCGTACTTCGGAGGACACACAGAGCTGTGTAAAGTCATCTCTGTGTTTCTATTTGCCTTAGGGTTTATGATGGCCATGTTTTGCAAAGAAGATGGCTATTTTATACCCAGAAGATTTAAACTGTGATGCCAGAAGGTCAGTTGCCAGCTGCAGGTGAAATTAGGGAGGGGGGCATAAGTTGCTATCTATTTTTTGAGAAAATTATGCTGGCTTTCAGGATGTGGTTCTTAGACTCTTCACATTTATTTTATGATGATTTGATCCAAGCATTATGCACAAAGTTTTCTTCTTTTATTAGCCAAAAAATGTATTAAATAAATAAATGAATAAATAGAGAGGAAAATGCATTTTCACTTGGGGACCTCTGGGAATGAAGGGTGGTTTTTTTTAAAAAAAAGCAGCTGGCACTGTAATCCAAACAATTAGCATTAATCTGTAAAAATTTCAGGTACCCAAATTTAGCTTCCCCTTTAGGGCTCTTATTTTGTGCAGATGAGAGGCCCAACTGAATATCAGATGCATATCTCTGACAAGTGGGCCACACTGCTGCCAAAGTGTCTCTTGCTTCTTTCGCTTCTCAGATGTCTTTTAGCCTTTATGGTGTCAAATTCCCCTTGAGTGCACATAGTTCTTCTGCCCTCCTTTGACATCTGACGTCACCACCTGCAAGTGCATTTAGGATGCCTGGCAAATGTCTGCCTGGACCTTCTTTATAATTTATGCTACTTCTTTCTAACGTATGGAACTGCTGTAGAACGGACTGATTGTGATTTAACAAATCAGAGCCCTGTCCCTTTGGAAACTGGGTGAAAAAAAGCTTCTGAAGATGTTCTTCATGATCACCATCAGTGCATCTATGTGAACAGGCACAATGACGACCTCCAGCAAAAAGACATCAGTGGTCAACTCTTTGGCCAAAATCTTTGACCCTAATGCTTTACAGAACCAACGTCCACCTTCTGAAGAGGAACCTTTGCCTGCGCCCCCTTTATCCAGGGAGAATGTCAGCTCCCCTGAAAACTTGAATGTGCTGGATAGAAAGGTTGCATCTTTGGATCAGAAAATAAACACACTGTTGACTGTGCAAGACAATGTTCTTCAGAAGTTGGAGTGTGTTAAGCAGGAAATCTTTTGTATGGGAAAAAATATTGAGCTCTTTAAAGGACAAGAAAGAAATGTGGGAGCTGGGCTATCTACCCCAACATCAGAAAAGTTAGATATAAATGTATTGTGCATAGAAATCATCAAGAAACTTTCTGATATGAACAAGAGTGCAGAACAACAAGCCAAAAGATTGGATGGACTTGAACAAGTAGTGCTGGGAGTACAGCAACTCGTTGGCTCTTTGGTAGAGAAATTAAAAACATCTACAATCACTGATTTAATGCGTAGAAATGAAGCTCCTCGTAAGCTCCTTAGAGTCGGTGGCTACTTAAGAAAAGATAAATCAGGAAATATTTTCAGAATGCAGACATTCTCAGACAGAAGGGAAGCAGTGATCAGCAAGCTGCATGAAAAGGTGAGCTCAATATTGCTATCAGAAGTCTATTTTTTTTCTCTCTGTCTGTCTGTCTTTGTCTCTTTCTCCCTCCCGCTCTCTACTTCTCATGAGCTCAGTGGACACTGCTTGGTTGTTAACTGTGATAAATCATTCAACGCTACATTTTAAGGGAAATACTCATAAAATTAGTGCTTGGTGGGTTTGCATGTTCTAGAAACCATAATTGGCAAGTCATATTCCCACTGTGCTTAATGACAAAAATGTATATTTCATGCAATCAAGTTCTATCCAAATATTCCTGGGTTTCCTGTCATTTCAAAAACCACAGTGGTTGTATTGCTAGAAACCTAAAATAATAATCTCCCCTTCTTATTCATTTGCATGTGCCAGACAATGACATTGTGTTAGATTGGATGTGTGTAGATGGTATATCCGTCACTGCTAGTTAATGGGATGGCTCTCTCAAAATACTAAACCATGTCTAGGACTGCACAAGTGCCTAGACATTTTTCAGACCTTTTCAGATCATTAAAAAGATTCTGACATGGGGCTGAAAAAAAATTTAGCTCTCCACAAGCTGGGGTCACAATACATTTCTGATACAACTGAAAGAGAACTCATTGATTTCAGAATGAATCATTTCCATAGTATGATGCATATGAACACTATGTTTAAAGTGTTTGTCATGCTTTACATACATAGGTCAGGATCCATCAGAATCTCCCTCCCTTGCCCCACTGTCCTCCATGGTGTTGAAAAAGAATTTCCTAGTGCTCCAGAGCAGGTTATTGTGCCTGCAAGAAGGAGAAAGATTTCCAGTCCTAATCCTGCTAGTGAAAACATCAGAATCTTGTGGAAGTCCATTGTTTAATTATGGCCACTGCAAGGCAGACATGCAGTATTATCTTCATACTGGATATGGTGGCACTGAAATAATAGTGTGCCATACCTTCCCAGTGAGCTCGTAGGAGGATCTGAGTAAGGACTTGCTGCCATATTATTCAGCAGTCTGTATTACTTTAAATATTTCAGTCTTGAGCCAAGATCTTTTGCAAGACAGTTATCCTTAAACAGCCTCATCTTCTTTCACAGTTGGAGTAAATGTCTGTAATTCAGTAGAGGGAGAGACAGGCTACATAGCTGTGGGGCATCAGCTTCTGAAGTGTTTCCTTTCAATAATCCAGGCTAAGGTTTCATCGTATAATCTATATAACTATCCAAGTATCATTTTAAAATAGTGAGAACATATACATTCTGTATATGAACAGAATGCTGGAAATATACACACAAAAACCTTTACAACAGGTTTGAGGATATGACACAATCCATATCTTTATTATTTAAAGATATTTTAATAAACAATTGCTAGTGCAGTTTTATCTTGTTCATTTGTTGGAAGCGACCTTGAAAGGACTTTCTTCTCAAAGGCAACCTAACCATGTTTTTTTTTTTTAAAAAAAATAAATATATAAAATGTATTTCCTTAATGAAATCAGCCATACAAAAGTGCCTAAACCTTGGCTGGTTCTTCCTAATTTTTCTATGAGCTGTAAATTATACTCCTGGCCTGGTAAATATGCTGCATGGGGGAGGGGGGAATAGGTGGTTAGCGATAACTGCGAGTTGAGCAGGGCAGATCACTGGGGCACCTTTCAAAGCCCTACCTCTCTGCAGGGAGCCCCACTGGCATTCACTGGAGCCCCTCTGTCTTGTACCTCTTCTTCACCCTTCCTTCTTGCTATTAGCATTTCTTTTCCTGCCCCCTCCAAGTATGCAAACAAGAACAAAAGTGAGGACGGGGAAGCATCCTCTGCTTCCATCTGGTTTGTCTTTTTCTCAACAGCACAGATTAGGTCAGGAGGAAAGAGGTGAGAAGGTGGGTCACAGTACCTTGGAGTGCCAGGGTCCTGGAGACGAAAGGGAGCACAGAGGAGGAGACCTAATGAAGGCACGTGGCTATTGGAGTACCCAAAACACTGTGTTAAGAAAATGTGTGCATCCATAAGACATCAAATGCCTTTTCGTAAGGTGCCAGACAAAATGGAGAACATAGTTCTTAATTTTTGTAAGATCTGAGAACATAAGCTACACAAGGCCACATCCAGAAACAATGTGTATACAACATGAAGCTGAGTATCTTTTTTTGACTTCTTAGTAACTCTGGAAAATAAAGACTAACCATTTCAGATTTTTCCCCTCTAGTTACTAGGATGATAGGAGTTGAATACCAACAATTTATAGAGGGACATGTGTTTTCTGTCTCTAGTAGGGAATATAGTCCTCTCCTGAACAAGCTGAATACCACTCAGCTGAGCAGACAAACTGCCTTGTCTGGGATAGACTCTCAGCTTTTTGTCTCCCACCCACACAGGCACTCCCACCTAGGCACTCCTTCCGAATGGCCCACTGCATCTCCTGGGTGTGGTGACATCAGAAGGTAGACATGGGTGATGTCAGCATGTTGCCATCAGCGATAGAGATCTCAAATAACCTCATGCAGCCGTTTAATGCAGTCAACTAGTGTGGGGGCTCACTATTATAGCATTTTGGTTCTTTAATTATTTCTCATATTTTTTGCTTGTTCCTTTAGGTATTGTTGATTTTGTTTTCTAGTGTTATTGTTGTGTTGGGAAATGAAACAAACGCTGTAGGTTAGGGAGGGAATGATGTGCCCTTCTGTATGTTTGTTAGATGTCAGCAGTCTCTCAACTTTGGCTGTGTTAGCTAGGCCTGATGAAAATCAAAAGATAAGGCACCCGTTAGGTAGAGTGAGGTTCTCCCCTCAGGTGGTAGAGCACCAGGAAAGCATTTTTTGCTGTCCCTGCAAGGAAGCCCACAGCTGCTGCCACATCACACTCTGTCTTGCACCGTTACTGCCTGGCTTCCCTGCCTCACATTGTGGCAGCAACTGCACCTTCCATCTACCTATACTGTTCTCCCATGTTATATATAAAACTGTGCTAGTGCTTTGTGTGGCTGGCTGTGCTGCACACCTAGAGCAAGTGAACAAAAAGAAGTGGTCATGTTGCCTCAAGGCATGGCCCCAGTGACAATGAGAGAGGCTAAGCAAAAATAACAATGAAGTCTGGCAGCAGTGGTGGTGCTTCTCCTGCTGCCTCAGAGCTGCTACGGCTGCTGAGAACTTCATCATAAGGACATCTGTGAGGGTTCCTCCCCTCATGTACATCAACAAATTAATTTTAATATACAGTCGTGTCCCGCTTAACTATTGCCTTGCTTAACGAGGAAATCGCTTTACGATGAGGTTTTTGCAATTGCAATAGCGATCGCAAAACAATGGTCTAAATGGGGGAATTTTGCTTAGCGATGATCAGTTCCCTGCTTCAGGAACCAATTTTCGCTTTATGATGATCAAAAACAGCTGATCGTCGGGTTTCAAAATGGCCACCGGCTGAAGAAAATGCCCCCCCCGCTGTGTTTAGGGACAGATTCCTCGCTGCACAGGCATGGAAAATGGCCGGCCCTATGGAGGAACTTTGCTGGCCGGTGAGTTTTTAGCCCACTGGAACGCATTAACCGGGTTTTAATGCGTTTCAGTGGGCTTTTTTATTTTGTTTGATGATGTTTTCTCTCTACAGCGATTTCGCTGGAACGAATTAACATTGTCAAGCAAGGCACCACTGTAATCCAGGGTCAGTCTAACTTTCCTTTAAAGGACCACCATTGGGTTCTGTTCAGTAAACTGCATCTGGATTTGCTGAACATACATCTGTGTGATGTTAAGTAGAACCAGGCTGTAATTCAGGTTTCCTTGAAGAAGCAGTGAAAGCAACTCTCTGTAATGCCTTACAGATGGGTTTGCCTGTTTCTTCTGCTGAGGCTGCCTGTCATGTTAGGCCTGGTATTTACTGTTGTTCTGAGTACAATTGGCAATTAGGAACTCATCATCCACTCCACAGGGGAGAGAAAACAGTGGTTTTTCAACAGAACTACTGAAAACTCTGAGACATGTTCCAGACTGGGTTGCGGTTAGAGACATGGATCACGTCAACAATCCTTATTCCTGTGCTTACCATAAATTCAGCAAGACTATATAAGAATTTTTTAAAAAGCAATAATCCAAAAGCTGTTCACTCAAATGTATTACAGGGAAAATGGAAATAATCGGTTCATTTCATAAGAAAGCACAGGTTACACACATTTGCATGAGGCTTAGGTCTGGGCAGGAATGTACTTTGTGCTGAAAGAAAAATATGTTTGGAGATGTTATTTTAGTATTTCTGTATTTAGTGGTTTGGAGGCAGGGAAACATGCTAGGAATAGACCCAATGCCATCAGTGGAGCTTAAATCACTCATCCTATCTCTAACCATAACTGAATCTGGATCCAAACCAGTGATTTGGCTGGAAGTAACTGTCCATGTTAAAAAAAGAGAAGAGTTCCCAAAATGTAGAAATTATATTTATGTATATATATACATCAATGTCATTTATACAGTTCATTTAAAATATTTCTAAACATTTATTTAAAATATTTCCAAACCACACTTCATCCATTCTTTTTCTAGGCTATTGTACAATGGGCATGAATAGAATTATGAATACTAACTGCAAGTATCCAAAAAGAATAACATATTAACTTTCATACCAAATGAAGGCTTACACATTACAGTTATATATATTTTAAAGGATTTTAACCTGTTACTAAGCTGATTATAATATCAACACCAGTTATCTATTTCCAGGGAAAGTATTTTATAGTTAGGATGTTGCCACAAAAAAACTGAGGCACTACCACAAAAGAAAAAAAAATATTTCCAGTAATAGTACTCTTAGGGAAGAGGTGATCTGCTCTTTGCACAGCTACATAGGAAAGGCCTCCAAAGTCAGCACTGGATCCTTCTAAATCTTTTGGACTACAACTTCCATCTGTCCCCTAGCAGCATGGCCAAAGTCCAGGGATGATGGATTGGCAAGTCTAAGTACAAGATGTAGTCATGTGGATATAATCCATAACTTGACAAATCAGCTGTGAAATGACTCCCTGTAGCAATGTGG